CCTGATTGTCACATGTTCTGGGACCAGCCCGGACTGTACTACATTTTCCTCGAACTCATAGCGGGGGCCATCTGTATTTTGACCTTCTCGAGGTAAGCAATGAGTAATAATAAATAATAATAGATGGCATTTGTATAGCCCAATTCCCCGCTCAACAGCAAGCTCAATGCGCTACACAATCTAAACTATTACCCCAGCAGACCTGAGAACATTCTGAAACAACCTCAACTTCCTGGGAAGTATACAGTGCAAGCAGCCATTTATTTTATAGGCGCTAAAACACTAACATACTGACAAAGTCTTTCGCTGTCTAGGTAGTGAGCATACCAGCGTCTGTGGTGTTGCGATTAGGCCTAGACAGTATAAGAACGTATAGGATTAGGCGCTTCGTCGTCACGCGCAGAAGACCCAGTTCGATTTTCGAGTGGGGGAAATTTGTATCAAATATCTCGGTCTTTCTGCTGAGACGTTTCAGCTTCAGAGTGGTGTGGGAGCGAAATTAAATCTCAGCAGTACCCATGATATGCTCGAGTTGCTCTCCAGCACGGAAATTTTCCTAGGTATCCAGAGGCCAGAGGTGTGAAATTAGTCTGACTTTGACCAACGCCTTCCGCCCTAATCATACGGCCAGTCGAGAAAAGAGTTCCTCGAATCTTTGTTACATGCACAGGAGAGGTGGCATTAGTTGACTGCGTATTTCACCGATGGGTGGGGCTAAGGTGATAGCCAAGGAGGTGTTCAAACGCTTCTGTTTTTAATAGGTCAAACAGTGGTCCTATGAAATGCAAGCATTGGTGGCAGTTGGGTAAGTATGACCGACACGTCATGCCATTATCAGAGAGGATAGCACGAGAGGTGTGAAGTGTGATGTGAAGTTTTGACCAGCTAACCGGAGTGGCTGTGAAGTTTTGACCAGCTAACCGGACACGCTGGCTGAGCCTGGCCCTCTTGTGATTCCGTCTTACACAGGTTAGCTTGAGTATAAAATCCCTATCCGTCCAGGTTGGTGCTGTTAGACAGGGTCGAAGTTCGCCTTCTGAATGTTCAAAATTGTGTTGGTGAGTGTGTAAAACACCTGGGTACATTTATTAGGGGAGCATGCTTTTAGCGCTTTCCCTTCAGATCGAATTTATAATTTGACCAACAGACTCAGATGTTGCTATAACTTTATGAATTAAGTAGTGGGTGATTGGCGAGTGCTCTAGTGTGGGTTTCTCCTTCTTTCCTTTCAAACACCTATCGTCCTCATCTCTCCTTCTTTTTGTGTTATAATGTTAGTTACTATTTTGTAACAACTCCAATCTTCGGCACTTATATGCCCTTATTATGTTGCAAGTGCCGTAAAACTCTTACTAAAACAGACTTAAGTAGGGCAGTTATTTGTCCTGTTTGTTAGTCGAGTCTGCGTAATCAGTTCAGGGCAGAAGGTCAGACTGGCAAGTACAAACTTGTCCATCAACATTCTGAAAAAAATAACACCGGATTCGACTAAATAAGAAGGGTTCCTCACGTAATTATCATCGCTAATACTGCCGTCATTTTAAAAAATGCAGTAGGCCTACATGTTTATTATGCAGTTTTTACAATTCTCCAGGAGACCCCCCCCCCAAAAAAAAAAAAGAAAAAAGAAGAATATATTGTTACCAAGAAAACAAACTCTTTGCAAACGTCCCAAGTGAATGTTTTAAAGAATACTATTTCAATAATAACTTCCTTATTATCTTTAACGCTTAAGTTGTTTTATTGGTAACAGCATTCCGTTTGTTTGGGGTTTTTTGTTTTTGTAAAACGGGTACGCCCACCGCTGGCCTTCGGGTAGTTTTGAATACGTCGTCTCAGGGACCGAATGAACTTTTGAAATAAACATTGAGGAACCACAGCCCATTCTTGATGAAGGAAGGGGGGAGGGGAAGGGGTCGTCTGGTGTCAGATGTACAATTACCGAGAAAATTGCTACCAAATTTGGGTGACTTCCCAAAGCTATTGTGTCCTTGGAACTGCAAATTTACATTTTTTTCCACAATGCAGGAATATGTAGACCTATTTCAGTGGACATGAAATTATTGAGCACCCCCTCCCCCCTTCTGCCAAAAAACCCAACAAAACTGCCACAGGAGCGGGGAAAATGTAGATTACTTCGATTTTATTATTATTTTGTCGGGCGCCTGATTTCACCACGACACCGCATTTGGTTCGGCCTTTACTCTATTCCTTTGTCCACAGCCACATGCCCGAGAAGATCTGGCCTGGAACATTCGACTTTTTGGGTCAAGGTCACCAAATATTCCACGTTGCCAGCGTGACGATGACAATGTTCCAGTTTGAGTCAGGTGCTGCAGACGCCGTGCAATACTACAGAGCGGAACAAGCGCGCCCGGAACTCTGGGACATCCTGGCCGCCATTTTGTTGCTCAAGTTGGCTTGCCTGACGACTATTGTGTGTTTGAAAAACAAGACGCTAGACTGCGTTCGGAAGGAAAGTGACATGAAAAGCCAGTAGAGATGGCGTCTTTTGTTGTTGTTGTTGTTGGGTTATTTTTTGTCTTTTGTCGTGGTGTCTCTCCCCCCCCCCTCACACACACACACACACACACACACACACACACACACACACACACACACACACACACACACACACACACACACACACACACACACACACATGCATCCACACACACAGATGAGAAATTATTGAAGTTTAGTTTTAGTAAGAGTTTTACGGCACTTGCAACACAAAAAGGTCATATAAGTGCCGAAGAATAGATTACGTGTCACAAGAGAGTAACATACACGAAAAAGAAGGAGGGGAGATAAAGACGACAGATGTTTGACAGGAAAGAAGGAGCAAACCACACCAGAGCACCCGCCAACCACCCACAAAATTATTGAAATTAAAACGTTTTTTAATTTGAGTAAAGAGAAGCACATCGACACAATAACGTCATTTAGTGCAGGGAAAAATTAAGGCAGACAGACAGAAACAACAGAGGGAAAGTAAAGAAGTGGGACCTACCAGTGGTGCCCTCCAACCACCTGCTGAGGAAAGAGTGACATTGTGGCAAATTCTTAAGACAAAATGGTTGGTTGAAAACAGCTCCCTGTACATGTAATGATTATGATGTTGGAGACAGCTATAATAGCAATATAAAGTAAAAGGATCACTTTTTGATTGTGTAATAACATAAATCTAGTCATTTCAATCTTAGGAGATTTCTCTTTCCCTGGGCAATACTGAATAGTCTAAAGAGGGGATCATGTTATAAAAATATAATTTTGGTGCTTCGCTTTGTGTTCACGGCACCCAGGTTTAAAAACAAAAGAAAGAAAGAAAATTTGCATTTTTTCCGATCACGTAGAGTAAAAAAAAAAAAATGAAGTTAACGTCTGAGTCAACCAAAAGCCGCAATATCATTTGATCAATGTCACCCAAGATAGATGGTAGATTTACCTCAACATCATAGAAATCGAGCCATCGGCACGCTCCGCGCTACTGTAAGCGTTTCTGCTGTAGAGAGGACATTCAATGTCAGTAGAAAACCTATCACTATCAGCCTACTGAGACCGAGACAACGGTACGTTGTGATTCGGATTGTTCAAGACCGAACCAGAACTGGTCGCTCAAAGCCGATGCATCAGGGCAGTGCACCTAAGGAATCGTTTTAGAACAGCTGCTCAATCTACCAGGCAATTTCGGGGACTTTATAGACAAACACAGTGGATCGGTCTTTCGCCAACTAAAAAGAATGTGAGGAAAGGGAGGCGAATGAGAAGAGACCTGAAGCGACAGAGTAGATTCGCCCTCCTATCCTCATCCTTTTCTTATCGCTCTGTGAAGCTGATGTTGCTGCATTAGTCAAAATGACGATGTCAAATTTGACGTTGATATTGGGTTCATAGAATTAATGAACTCCGAGAAACATTAACGTTTTGCAAATATCATCATTTAGTGGGTAATGTTCTTAGAAATGACGATGTTAAAAAAAAAACCCATCTTATCTGAACATGAAAGCTGTTGCATTCCGGCTTCTCCTTGATAAGATTGGACCTTACGAAAAACAAAAACAACAAATTTTCATAAATGATGCCAGGCAACACCCAACAATATCACTATGTACACAGTGAGAACAAGCGAGGCGAATAAAATTTAGGGGCAGACCTTAGTTGACGATCCCTCACGTTTTTCTCGTATGGCGAAGTGAAGCGGAAGGGACGAAAGGCGAACCCACTGTAGCGCGCTCAACGCATTTGTTGTTGATTAAAAACACTCGCTAAAAAAAAGGGGAGGCGAGGCGGATATCCCCCCCCCCCCCCCCAACCCCCAAAGGTGGGGAAAGGGAATCCACTGTGTTTGTACCTTTACTTTTACTGTCTTTTACCCGTCAGCCAGGCTGATGTTGAATGTCGCAACAACAGAGTGGCGTCGGTGGCCTGCTGGTTAGGCTAAGAAACCGAACCGAACCGATCCTCCAATGGACACCGGCACGAAGCGTGTCGATGGCTCCATTCCCCACACACTACCAACGCCATTTTAATTTGATTGAACCTCGTAACAGTAGGCTACAGTTCATGCCTTGAAGTGGACCTCCTCTTTGCACGCACAGAGTATGCATAGCAGCTCTGGGTCATTGCATCAGCTGGATAACATAAAGTGCACTTTATAAGATGAGTGCGCTTTGGACAAAAGTTTTCTGAGGCGATGATATAAAAGTCAGCTCAAGTTATTTTTGTTTTTAGATTTATTTTTATATATTGATATATTATTTTATATTTATTTGCGCGCGAGTGTGTGTGTGTGTGTGTGTGTGTGAGTGTGTGTGTGTGTGTGTGTGTGTGTGAGTGTGTGTGTGTGTGTGTATGTAAAATATTATATATACATTTACATGTATGTTGATTTTTAGTCCGAACACAACGCATGCCTATTGTGTATGCATGTGTTGTTACCTGTGATTAAAGGTGCTCCAAGCCTGTGTGTGTTTTTTATTAATTGGTAAGTGTTTTACAGCGCTCGCAACTGCATAAGGTCATATGAGCGCGCGGGACACATTAATAAACTTTTTCAGTTGGTAGGAAATTTTGAATTTTGCCCGTGTGGCGGCCAATGCCTACTCTTGTCGATTTTAGACCACCAAGGGATCTTTAGATTTTTCGCCTTTGTCCGAGAAGGCTAGGTGTAGATCTTTCCTACCCGAAGATCAGGGGTGTGGCTGAAAGACAGCAGTAAGGAGCCAAGGAGTCGGAGTAGCAGTAGAAAGGCTGCAAAAAGAGTTAGGAGCCCAGAGGAAGGGGCCAAGGGTGTGAGTGGGTGGGGGTAGAAAGTGGAGACGAAAGCAGACGACAGAACATTGCTAGAGAGCAGGAAAAGAGGTGAAAGGAGACTGTTGTAGAGAAGAAAATTTTTCGGTCGCTACCCAGATTCGAACCCGAGACGTTTGAAAGAGAGGCGAACACCTTAACCTCTAGGCCACCAGAGCCCCCCCCCCCCCCCCCCCGGGTCCTTTTATGCAACGCCCCGAGGAAAAAAGAACACATGCATGGAGTTGCACTCCGCCCCCCAATGAATATAATATCTAATTTTTTTTTTCCCAGTGGAACCTGTTTTAGGGGGGAATCCCAGGGGCCCCAAAAAAAAATTCCTCTTTGCCCAGGGGAATTTAGGGGGAGATGGGGTTTTGGGGGGGGGGGGGGGGGGGGAGTTCAAAGGCCCAGCCGGTGGGATCAAGGATCGCTTGTCCGATCTACCAGCAGTAGTCAAAACTTCACACCTCTCAGCTGCTATCCTCTCTGATGATAATGACATGCGTCAGTCCTACTTAGAGACGAAAGTGCTTTCCTTTCATGCGCCCACTATTTGACCTATTAACACAGGAACGTTTGAACATAGTCTTTGCTTCCACCCTTAGCCCCACCCACCAATGCCACCCCTCACTGCCATCATGTAACAACGATTCGAGGAACTCTTTTCTCGGCTAGCATTGGTCAATCTAATTTCCCACCTCTCGCTTCTAGCTACCCAAGAAAATTTCCGTAGTGGCTCGCGACTCGAGCACTCTCACGGGCAGTCGTGAGATTTCACACCCACACTACACTGACCATCTGCATCGGTCAGGGCTCTCATGACGGGGTAACATCTACCCCCAAATTACACCCCTACTCCCCTTCCTCGCCCAGCGCATGGCCATAGCGTTAAGTCTAGAGCCGTGGGAACCAAACTTGCGAGTTTTGTTTCAAATCAGGGTTGAGCGGGCAAAGCATTTTCCGTCTTAGACAGGTGAAACCCTCGGAAGGGAGCAGATTTTTCTTTCCGTTTCCGCGTTGGACAGGTTTCCTTTTTATACAGGTAATTAAAGAGGAATATATATCAAGGGGGGGGGGGGGGCGGGGAGATTCCGTTAAGACAGGTATCCGTTTTACACAGGTTTCCGTTAAGGCAGGTTCGACTGTATATAATATATATATATATAATATATATATATATATATGTATATGTATAAAAGTGTGTGTGTGTGTGTGTGTGTGTGTGTGTGTGTGTGTGTGTGTGTGTGTGTGTGTGTGTGTGTGTGTAGCATTGAAGAACACAGGCTTGAAGGACCTTAAAATAATGCTCTTTAACATTTTTAACTTCACATCTCATAATAAAGGCAATATCTTGACTCGTACTAACCAAATCTGTCTGAAAATCTCAGATATAAGACAGTGCATTCATTTTACAGCAAGAGAAACACGTGGAATGCAAAGTTGAGAATGTTTTTAATCTTCAATTTTGAACTTATAGTTGTCAGGGGTCTAAATGAAAAGTGACAGCTTTCAAGTAACGTGTGATGACATCAGAGTTGTTCACATCTTCACATCGTCGACGCATGGACGGGATGACTCGAGGTTTTGTCAATAGAGGGTCCACTCTAGAATTAAGGCTTGCTCTAACTGAGCATGGGTCCGGGACTCACGTGGTCTGACACGAACCAAAATGTCCCGTAAGTGCTCGGCTGGATTGAGATTTAATGAATACACGCAGCTTGTGGGTTTTTCTTTTGCATTTTTTTTTGGGGGGGGTCTTTTTTTATGTAAGTGTTTTAAGGCGCTCGCAACTGCACAAGGTCATATGAGCGCGCGAGACACATCAAACATTTTCATTTTCAGTTGGTAGGAAATTTTGAATTTTGCCCGTGTGGCGGCCGAAGCCTACTCTTGTCGATTTTAGACTACCAAGGGATCTTTTACGTGCGCAACTTGCACACGGGACCTCCGAGATTTTTCACGCTTGTCCGAGAAGGCTAGGTGTAGATCTATCCTACCAGAAGATCAGGGGTGTGGCTGAAAGACAGCAGTAAGAAGGAGCCAAGGAGTAGCAGTAGAAACGCTGCAGAAAGAGTCAAGAGCCCAGAGGAGGGGGCAAAGGAGGTGAGGGGGGTGGGGGCAGAAAGTGGAGACGGAAGCAGACAACAGAACATTGCAAGAGAACAGGAAATGAGGTTAAAGTAGACAATTTTAGAAAAGACAATG